TCTTTGGGGGAGCTCTGGTCCTTACTTTGAACATTACTTTGAACTTCCTGTCTCCAGTGCAGATCCCTCAGCCTGCTGGAACAGATCCTTCAACCTGCTGGCACAGACTTTCTGGTCCACCACTGACCTATGAGCCTTCCCAGTGTAGGTCCTTGATACAGACTTACCTGAGATATTGTTGTAGGCTCTAGGCTTCCAGTTGGACTCATGGAGGTGCAAGTCATTGCCATGGGCTCTAGATGTTCAGCTGGAGTCATGAAGGACATTGCTGCAGGATCCAGGCCCTCACTTGGATTCTTTGAATCTCTAGTGTGTGGACAGATTTCCTGCACTCTTTTGCATTTGACTCTTTGGGTTACTATTATAGAATAATCCTATAAATTATGTGTCCTGTACTAAATCTTTTCCCTTGTAAACCATGACTACAGCTGGTAGCAAGTTGACAAGAGGGGATGTGGTACTTAGGATGGTGTGTCAATTTGATTGGCTATGGGATCCACCCAAAGGATTGATGGAAGATACTTTTTGGTGTCTGTGTGGGTCATGGAGGATAGCTTTGGTTGTATGTCTGGTCCCTCACCCTTTCCTCTCTGGCACTGTTCCTTTACTCTGCCTCCCTCGGTAAGCTGAGCATATTTGCTCTGTAATGTCCTTCTGCCATGATACTTCTGCCTGGGAGCCAGTTAACCATGGACTGCATGTCCCTAAACTGTGAGTTAAATTAAACCTCTCCTCCTTTAAATGATAGGTGTTTGGTATTATATTTCCATGATAAGAAAGCTGACTAATATAGTTGGTGAATATCAGAATATTAATTTTAGAATTAATTCACTAAAAGCACTTAAACCAGTGTCCAGCATCTCTTAAAACTCAATAAATAATAAGTATTGTTACCATGTTTCTATGGGCTAGGAGAATTTTAACTTAGAACAAGTAAGTCCCAAATGCAAAAATGTAGAAAGTAAATTTAAGTGTTTTGCAAGTGAACCCCTACAAATATCTAGTTCTACATTTAAAGTTATTAATTATCCATTAAAAATATACCTTTGGGTGAATGGAGTTGCTAGATTTTAAAGTACTGCTCTAAACTTTGGGAATATATATATATAAACAGTAGACAAAATATGGTCCCTCACAAATCTTACAGCCTAATGGAAAAAACTGGAAATAGTTGAACAATTAACTAGACAAGAAAACTTCCCATCATGAAAACTGCCATGAATGCAAAAACTTACTAGAAAATGACAGGGGATGGAACTTTCAATATGTAATCAGGGATGATCTCTCTAAAAAGAGAGAGGAGCTTAAAAGAGGAGAGGAGCCATTCAGAAATGGGAAGGAGCCTCTCAAATGATAAAACAGCAGTGGCCTAGATGTAAAGCTAGCTTGCCCAGTCAAGGGCAGAGAAGTCAGTAAGCTGGAGCACAGCCAAAGAACACCAAAGAGATGAGCGAGGGCCAAATTGTGCAAGTCTGTTAGGCCATGGTGGGAAACTTTTTTATGGTAAATACAAATGGATGCACTGGAGGATTCTGAGCTAAAGACTGACACAATCTAAATTATGATTTTAAAAGATCACTCCAACAGCTGTACGGAAAAAAGACCGAAAAAGAGCAAAAATGAAACAAAGGACGCCAGATGCAGTGACCCAAGTAAAGGATGACTGAGAACATTGCTGTTCCACACTGCCCAGTATCTTGCCTGGGATAGAAGAGCTCATGAGGGATAGGGCCAACACTCAAACTTGAGTCTTCATGAGTCAGGGTCTCACGCTCTTTCTCCCACACTGCAGAAGAAAGGCAT